ATCTAATTTTTTAGTATCGCAACCATTGATTTTCTTTTCCCTGTTTCCACAACGTCCATTAGAGTGGGCCAATGAATATCAGTGTTTTCATTTCTGCTGTAAGAAGCACATATTGACATGTGAATCAGCTCATCCTCAGCTGTGCTGTAGAGAAGATTCTTGTGCAGACCTGCACCTTCTTTTTCCCCTCCTCTGTGCACAAGACCCATTTGCTCCCTCCCTCGGGTCTAGGTGTTGGCACCAGGATATTAGCAGATTTGACAGAGCAGAGATTTCAAGACAGTGTGTGGGTCCAACTCCTTGTTTGCCTCTGCCCTCGGAGTAAGAAGAGTTCGCTCAGAAAGTCCTGCTCAGGAAGAGCAGTTCCCAGGCAACCTCACCAGGGATCTGAGCCCATTAGATGCACAGCTTGGAATGGAACCACCTAGCTGAGCCCAGTGGAGATCAGCTAACTCCAGACTCCTGGCCTCCGCAGGGTAAAGTCGCTTGTGGTTATGTAAAGCCATGGCATTCCGTGCTGCTCTTCTTAATGCGGCAAAATAGAAATTATGCAGAAATTGATACCTAAAAGTGAGGTGCATTAACAACAACAACAACAAAATCCAGAAGCTTAGAGACCACTCTAGGACCACACAAGAGCCCTGGAGGTGTGGCAGGTTCTGAGTTGGGCTGCTGTCAAGGCCAGCAGTTGGAAACCCCCAGCTGACCTGGAGCAGCACCAAGATGAGGCTCTCTGCTCCGGTGAAGATTTAGAGCCTTGGAAGCCCACAGTGCAGTGACCTCGAGGGCCACTCGGGGTCAGAATTAACACAACAGCAGGGATTTGGGGCTCTTCGGTTTGATTGCATAGTGGTGTGAAAATCTTGGAAATAAATCTTCAAGGATGCTGGAAAAATAGGGACCTATGTTGCTTAGGGGCCAAACAGGGTAAAATTGCCATCTGCCATATCTTGGGAAAAAAAACAAAAAACTGCCAATTGTTATTCCCAGTGGAATCCTGGTAGGCACAGTGTGCATATGGAAGTGGGCTGGTTCCCTTGTGCTTCATACCGGACCAGAAGTACCAGCAGGTGCGGCCCACTGTCCCCAGCAGGAGGATGAGACCCCTGGGGGGCATAAGTAGGTCTCTCCAGCAGACCTCTCCAATCTTCGCCAGCCAACCCAGCCTACTGATTATGACAGGCCTTTGCTGTGGTAAGTTTTACTGTAGCTACAGGTAAGTGATATACACTCATGAATCCAGTTCCAGAATGCTGCAAATTCTGCAGTTTAAAGCCATCAGCTCTTCTGCCGAAGAAAGACCACACTTTCTACTCCTGGTAAGAGTGACAGTTTACATATTTATCATTAGTACTTTTCCAGGTAACAACACCATGAAAATTACTTAAAGTAGAATTAGCTTTTAAACTAACTAAGTCTAATCAAATAATCAAGCAGTCTATTAAGAACTGGATAATTAAATTGCATCAAGACCAAAAAACAATGCAAAATAATTAATTAAGGGCTTATCCTAACCCCAAAGGTCTCTGGCTGCTAAAACCAAAACATTTATCGGACTTTGATTTGGAATTCTTCTTTAGTGGTGCCGAGAGCAGTTTTGGCACTGTGGGTTAGGCATTGAACTGCTAAATGCAGGGACGATTTGGCCACTCTAAGGAGAACGATTTACAGTCTTGGAAACCTCATATATTGTACATCAGAAAGAAACACTGCCTGTCCTGCACCTTCCTTACAATTATTGTTATATTTGTACCCATTTTGCAGCAACTATGTCAAACCTTGTCCCTGTTTTGCCAAGCATGATATCAGTCTCTAAGGATGGACCCCTCTGGACAGTGTGTCCAAACTACTGGAGATCAAGTCTCACATCTGGTAGAGCAGATATTGATCAATGGAATTCTTATATAATATGAAGAATTATTTTATTTTTAAATGGAGTAAAATATAGAAAATCACTTGAAATGAACAAAATGATCTAAACTTTTAAATTTACAAGTTTAACATTGTACATGTTAAAAAATCAAATAACAGTTTTAAATATTACACTGGAGTAAATCAAATAATAATCTGAAAAATTAAGATAAACTCAACTTTTTCAGAGTTAAAAGTTCTCCTTAACAAAAAATGATTCACAATTGTTACAGAATAAATGCTTTTGCTACCAAGTGTGGTCAAAATTACAGGGACATTCTTTCTTCTAGGGCTTTATAAAATACTCAAGAACTTTTCAAACTATATCTTACCTGAACTTTCTATCTGTTTTATGCAAAAAAGAATATACTCTAGATAAAAAGATGTAATTGTCTCTCGATGATATCTAAACCTAGGATAAATATTCAAAAGCCATTCTATGAAAAAATATGACCAAAGTCAATTGAAATGAATAGGTAATTATGCTATACATATTTCTTACTTAAAGCAAATTAGCAATGTTTCAAGGATGGTGATATTCTAGAAAAACTATTTTAAATGCTCTTTTTCTCTTTAGATAGACATCTTAAAGAGAAGAATTGGTTCTTAAGATTTTTCTGAAGGAAAATGACATGCTGTTGTTACGTAAACAGTTGCAATTGGATCGGGGGTAGGGGGGAGGGGGTGGCTAAAGCTTAAAAACAATTCTTGAAAGTGTGTTAGCTGACAGGGATGTTAGCTGTGTTTCATATGCTCCACCCCAGACTCTCTGCAGCGCTCCACACCCAGAAACGACACTGCACAACTGTGTCGATACAGCAGAGGGCACTCGGTAAAGCCTTCACTTTCTGGCCCAATTACTCATTTTATTTTTCAGAAAGATTTTTCAAAGTGGATAAATTATATAGTCAAATCTTTCACTGGAAACTAAACTGTCACCATGCGATCTGAACAAGAAAGAAAAGTACAAACAAACAATAACATTGACTCCAAAGCATATTGCATATTCTCCCCTTGAGTCTATGAAACAAACGTAAGACCCACATCAGCCACTGAAAGAGGCTCTTTAATATATGGCTGTGAATTGTTTTAAATTGCCCAACTGCATATAATATGCAGTGTATAAAAGATAAAATATGATCAAAAATTATTTTTTTAGAAAGGCGGGGATTATACTTTGTGCTATTGTTAAACTATCACGATCTCATAATTGGACATAAAAATTGGGTATGTGGACAGGAAATATTAATAAAAATCCTTTTCAGGGGTGAAATGACCTGAAAGATTAATATCTAGGCATCAATATCAATCATTTTGGAATTAATGGGAAAATCCACTGCAAAATATCTCATTATTCTGTTTCTAAGGAGTCCAATTAATGTCAAAATGTTTTTGCCAGACCGATATAATTAGCTTGTAATAATGTTTAGATGCTCATATTAATTTACCACAAAATGCAGCCTTTGTCTTAAACTATGCATAATAAAGTTTATGCAGATCTATTTTTAATGAGCAATCTAGCTGTCATTCTGTCATTGCACTTCCAATTATTTATCATTAAATCTGGCTACCATGATTGGAGGCGCATACACTCAAAACCACATGCGGTTAATTTCATTAGAAAAGAGATGAGTTCAAAGACTATGATTACATTTGGAAACACTGTGGGGGGCGGGGAGTAGAAGAAGAAGGAGATGCATCCAGGAACATGTCAGAGTCTTCCTAAGGAGATCCTAGTGCCTGGACTTTCGTCCTGTCTGCATATTCTTCCATTAGCAGTTATATACCTAGCAAAAACACGCTAATGTCCACACCTAGTGGAAGGGCATTAGGGCGGAAACACGTTCCCAGAGAGCAGGACAGCTATCTAAGAAGGAACCCCAGCAAGCAGAACGATAGGAACTAAGCCATCAAAGCGTCCCAGGAGGAAGCCCTGTAGCCGGCCCTGCTGTGTGTGCAGCCTCACAGCGCCACCCACATGAGCCATGGCGATGCCACCAGATACCAGAGGCTGCTGCTGTCTCTGGAAACCAGAGGTCATTGCCTGCCTGTCACCAGAGTGACCTCTGGGTGCTCTCTTCTTCCTTGTGGCATCGCGGTGGCTGTTAGGTGCCATTAAGTCGTAGCAGCTGAGTCCCAGCAACTGCAGGTCCTGCACCACCCTCACATGGCGCATACCCCTTTTCCCTTGTTTGACCACGAAACAATCGATTGCAGAGCAGAGTTAACGCAAGCTCACCCCGCTGACTGCCCTGAGGAAACCAGAAGCTCCCTACTGACCAGCCAATCCCGACTCATCGCAACGATGGAACACAGGAGAACTGCCTCGGGGCTTTCCAAGGCTTTAAGTCTGAAGAGGAGCAGGAAGTCTCATCCTTGTCCCGTGGACATGCTAGGGGTTTCAAACTAGTAACCTCGCAGTTAGCAGCCCAATGCGTCATCCACTATGCCCCTAGGGCTCCTGACCCCCTTCTTCCCTTGGACCTGTGGACTTCTTCTACCAAGTCCTCTTAGCCAGTGAATTGTCTTGCCCTCCAGAGCCTTGTTTTGGGTTTCTAGCTCCTTCTACCTGCCAGTGAGGGCCTCCTGGCCCACCCTCTTCCTGTGGCTGCTGCAAGACTCCATGTTTTTTCAGTTTCTAATCCAATGGGGGTCCCTTTACTTTCGCCTCTCCGACCTTCTCTCCAGGGGAGCTCACGAATCGTGAAGGGTTCACACTCTGCGCTGTTTGAAGTCGAAAGGGCCACTTCCAAAGGACTGTGCCCGAGCGGTGGGTCCAGAGCCGAATGGCAAGGGGGGCTCTGATGGGGATTTTTCTAGGATTTGCATAATCTGTGCTCTGGAACCTCTCTCTCATCAGGTTGCTGTTGGCATGTGCTGTCAGGGTGACATGGCATTTTCCAGGAGGGAATGGTATGGGAGCGTGTGGTGGGGTCTTTTGTTCTCAGGGGACCACAGTTCAAACCACTGGCCTTTCGGCTAGCAGCCGAATGCTTACCCATTGCACCTTGAGGGCTCCCCCTGGGGCAAGTACCATGCCACCAGGAAGGGGGAAGAAGGAGAGAGAGAGGGACTCAGTGCTCATTGGACAGAGCTTCTAGTGAGCGTGATGACATCACCTGGCAGCCAGTAAGGGTGACTGTTGAACAAGGGGGTGAGTGCAAGTGCCACGGAGCTGGACGTGTGAGCCTCGCCACAATCTCAAATGCTTTGCTACAGACCCTTGCATGCTTCCCACAATAGGAAGTTAGGAAAAGAAAGGGCAAAGGCGTACTGCCTACCCGACTAGTGACAGTGAATGAATGAGGAAAGCAGACCTTTCTCTTCCAACAACATGACTTTGACCAACGTTGACCCTGCCTACAAGCCAAGTCATTCAGTCTCCTAGTGCGGGAACAAAAAAGACATGGGCTTTCTATTTTCATGCTAATTATTGAAGCATTTTTAATTTTTGGTATCATCACAGCAGAACGCTTATTTTATTTTATTAAGCTAAACTTTTAAAAAGGAAAGAAAGAATCAGGAGTTAGTGGAGCAAAGAACCGAGGCATAAACCATTTCTTTTCGAGAAAAATAATTAAAAGCATAAAATTCGAAGGAAAGGCTACGAGCTCACTTTAAATGACACAAAGCTGGCATACTGAGAGCGGGCTTTAAAAAGTTCATGGAGAAATAGAACGAAAAGATGAATGGAATTTCCCCATGGACTTTTTGAAGCGCCCCCATGGGAGATATTGAGTCGTTCAAGATGAGAGCTTGCTCTGAATGCTAATACTCCATGTCACATCCTTCCTTACTAAACCTTCTGCTCCTGAATGTTTAGGTGCACTTAGCTCCCTAACTGAATCAGATTTCCCATTGTCATCCCCCAGTTTTCGACCCGGGCAATTTTCTGTCTCAAACCCTCGCAGCCATGGAGTACATGCTGGTGCACAGTGACCCCACAGCGGAGAGGAGAAGAGCCCACGTGGATTTCTGAGATGGCAAACCTTCCTGGGAGTGGAAAGCCCCGGCTTTCTCCTGAAGAGTGGCTGGAGCCGGTGGTTTCGAACCTTCAGAAGTGCTGACCTGGAAGTCTAGCAGCTAGCTCACTGGGCCACCGGGATCACTGATTTTGGAAGTAATCAAAAATATACAGATACTAAGATCCTGAGAGACCTCCAGACACTGAATAATGATTCTAAAAGACTGCAAGAGTACGTAGAGTACTAAGCATATAATGAAGCTCGCTTAATTGTATAAGAAAGCCCTAGTCCGAGACTTTTGGGGGGAGGACTTGAGAGTCCCTTCTGTTCGTTCTGGGGCCCTCCTCAAGAGAAGGTTCCCACCACTGGGATGTGGAGAGATGACAGCCACATTCACGCAACTCAAAGCCACTCACTGGCTGAGATTCCAGAAGTAAGAAGTTAGACTCTTCGACGGATTTATAGTAATAACACACACTATATTCTTGGGAAGCATTCCTTTGTGAGGGGGGCGGGGGGGCTATTCAATTGCCTCTCACGATTGCATGCTGATTCATGGATACAGTCGCTCTGACTCTTGGTAGCCATGTGATTGTCCCTCAAAGGAGAGAGCAAGCCAGAGACAGAGCTGACCCAAGGCTGCCTTCTCTCCATCTGTGGCTGTCCTTGAAGATTTTAAGCATATGAACAGTGTACTACTTGTGGTAATTGTTCATGTATTCCAAGAAAATTGAAAATAGGAAATTGTGTGTGTGTGTGTGCGTGTGTGTGTGTGTGTAAAAATATGTGCACATAGCCTTATGAGGCAGAACTGAAAAGTAACTTGCTTTTAGGGTTAAGTAGTTTCCAATTATACCTATTAGGGTAGGTCAGGGAAGAACACGAGTGGGTTTGAAAACATGCTACAGCCATTAATGTGTTCATTCATTCAAACATATTAAAGCACGGGGGTTAGAATTTGAGACATACAGGTCCGGATAAAATTAACTTTGAATATGTGCACAAGTTTAAAGATAGAGTGGCTACCACAGCGGGCTCAGACACAGCAAAGCCTCTGACGATGGGGTGCGAGTGGCAGTGTTTTGATCTGTTGTATGCTGGGTCATTGAGGTAGAGCTGATTCGAGTTGAGCACCTACCACCACCACCACCAAAGGTCTTAAAAAAATCAGTGCTACTCTCTTTGCTACTAATGTTCTTTGGCTTTATTGTTAGTTTATGCTTAATAGTGGAATAATATAATTAGTTATTCTGGCACAGATGCCTATATAATCAGAATCTATCTCTATAGTGAGGTATAAACATAACACAGAGAATGAGTAGCACTAATGCATTTCCCAAGGACTCGTGGGGAACTATTTCAGCAGACAGCAAAGGAGTTAGAGCAGATAAAGGAGTTATCAGACCAATGAAAGACTGAGGTGCACATTGCCATTAGACCCCAACTCACAGCGACTCACATACAACGGAACTGAACCCGGTGTGCACTTCCTAGCCTTGTATCTAGAGTGATTAAGTGCATTTACCTCATCACAATGTAAGCGATTAGAGAGTGCTTATGTGCATTCCCATATTTGTCTGGATGTCTATTTTTTTTTCTGATGAGAATCTAAGATCTAAAACGACAGGATAGTAAACTTTATTTTCAGATATGGGGACCACATTTTAATTGCTAATCATTCTTGCTAAACTGGCGATGAAGAAACAAACCGCGAACATGATGAGTGTGGTAAGAACGTATTCCGTTCTCACACGAGGTTCTCATTTCCAGTCACTTTCTCAGGCATTATTTGTGACTGCTCCTTTCAAGAACGCTGTGGCGAAGGTTGGGGCAGACTACCGTTTACAAAGATGGCCACCACAATTATCTTATTCTAACTGTGTTTCTCATGAAACTTGAACAGCTCTTAAAAAATTGCCTTGAATAGTAAGTGTGATGGAAAGGATGCAAGGTGGCTCCTGAGGTAAGATCTGAAGGCGCTGACTTGCAGTCTATCCCTTATGCTATGCGGAAACCAGGAGGCCCCATTAAGAGGTTCTGTTGGTGTCCTGGCCATGGTGCCGCTGAGATCCAGGGTCAACCACTAGATATGTGACAGCTCAGGGCTTCAGACGATCTCAGCTCACAGCATTCATGTCTACCTCGGTCACCGAGCCACCCCAGATAAAGCTGCTAACAGTTCCCCTGAAAAATCACGCTCAGGGTTCATGAACAGGAAACTTGACTGTTGTTTCTCTAACAACCCTGATTTGGACACAAACAAAACACCAAAACAACTCCAAAAAACCAGACCATTGATTTTGAGTCTATTCTGAGTCCTAGGAATCCTGGAGGACAGAGTAAAACTGCCCCGCAGAGTGACCCAGATGTCATCTGCACAGAGACACATGGCCACGCCTTTCTCCTGGGGGTGGCTGGTGGGTTTGAACCGCTGGCCCTTCACCACCATGGCACCAGGGCTCCTTTGATATCCAGAACAGAGGCAGAGCTACCCCTCTTTTTACAGAGGTGGCAAGAAGTACAGATTTGCTGGCCAATGTCATTGAGTTAGAACATGCCAACATCAAATGCATATCCAGCTTCTTAGACACACACCTCGTGTCCTTCCATCCGCCCACAGAGTTAGTATTAGAGGATATCGAGTGACATTGCAACTTGTCTATCGCTCAATACTGACTCATCACCTTCCAAGGATGTGGCAAAAACTAGATCATACACTTGACATTTCAACTATGTCCATTAAGAATTCAATATAATTAGGGAGAATTACCACAGTGGATAAGAATATGCTTATGATCCAAGTCATGTAAGAAGAAAGATTAAAATTAAATGATCATAAATTACATGTTGAAGAAAAAACAAATCTGTCTCAAACTCAGTTTGAACAGCTTAGCGCTGAATGATCATTCATGGATAAAAGGCTTTCTCCAATGACCACTTCATCAAGCTGAAGAATTTTAAGGGGGTTGAAACCCATGCTTGGTGCAAAAGGATGATAACAGAACTTACTCTCTTGCCTTGCAAAAGGTTTTCTTGAAGTCACGTGAGGGCACCTGCCCAGTTGGCATTTCCAGTATGTCATTCTCCACAGCCAGGTTTAGTGTCTGTAGTTTGGGTTCAGGTGCCTTTGTCAAGTTCCCAGGACAACTGTCACGGGATAGATCTGAAGAGTCAAAATTTAATCTTAATGGATCAACAATCACACCTTCTTTCTGAAAGGGTGAAACAAAAGCAAAACACAACACAACTATGAGCCATTTTTTTAGTTTTCCAAGAGAAAATTTTTGAGAAAGAGAAAAAGAGCAACAAAGTTTGAAAGGAAATCAATGTACTTGTTTAGAATCAAATCCCTATTTTAGTCCCATTCTTATATGGCTCGACTTTAACTAAATTCTTCTTCAAGCTGATTTTTCTTTTCTATGTTCTTTCTTATTAGAATAAAATTAATTTCCCAAAAGTTGTACTTCAACTTTTAGTTTAAGTTCTATTTTTCCAGGAAGGGCTAAAAATGGCCCCATATAAAAAAAAAAACCTGGATGGCAGTAAAGACGTATTTAATGAGTTGAAATCCTCTTTAAGATTTTGTCACAAGTTTCAAAGTGAATCAAGCCCTTATTTTTTTAATATTTTTGGAGGACAAAGTAAAAAAGAATCTTCAGGAATCTCTTGAATATTTTAAACAGGCATGTACATTGAAATAGTCGAGCTCACTATTTGAATCTCAAATAGAATTTAATTGGATTTTTCTAAAGATATAAGCATTAATTACCAGGGCAGAATACTGTCTCCATCAATGTATACTGTAATTCCAGAAGCATTACACTGAGCTCTTGTTATATTTGCTATTAGGGGTGGGTTTTAATATGAGATAAAATAATACATATATAGCTTCATTCAAATAAAATCTCAGTGAGATGTCATCATAAGTATTTTATTTTAAATAATACAAGGATATCAGGCTAAAAAGTATAATTCATCTCTTTATTCTAGAACAATTAGTATTTTTATGGTGTACTCTATTTTGAAAAATAATAAAATGAGACATGTGTAATTCTATGAAAAAACACTATCGTGAACCAATTCATATACCCACTCAAATCTTTCTCATTAGGTCTGGACAAGGCAGGGAAATTAGCTAATTAAAAAAGCTGATTGAAGATTCTTCAGCTGCTAGTACTAATTTCCCTACCATCAGAAGAGATCTTTACGTTTTGTTGTTGTTGTTGTTGTTTTTCTCTAAATAAACTAACTGTAAATAACCACTATGTATGATTTATTCTGGATGCTAATTGTGGTCCTTGTGTGATCTGTTGTCGGTTTGATAGGATTAAGAGTGAAGGGGTGGAGTATGGCCTGTCAGTCAGGTGGTAGCTTGATGACCTCATTTGGAGGAGCTAAGGAGATAAGTAGCTCGCTGGAGGCAGGATGCAGGCTCAGTTCCTGCAATACATTCTCGTCGACAAGCCCGATGGAGGCAGGCTGATGCAGCCAGAGCCTCGAAGCTGGAGAAGCCACATGGAGACCCCTGCCAGCACTGAGCTGCTTACAACGCCGCTGGATCCATAAGACTTCCCACCCATTGGCCTGTGATCTCCCTGCATTCAGCATCATTGCATGTGTTTCATGAGTCTGAAGAGGAATTTATAGATTGATATCAAACATATAGGCTAATACTGGACTTAAGGAATTGATCTGGACTGGACTGGGATGCTTTCTTAATGTACCATTACTTTTGTATATAAGGCTCTTTCTTATTCACACATGAGTGTCTATGAATTTGTTTCTCTAGTCTACCCAGACTAACACATGAATGTTACAAGAGATATTGCAAGTGAAGTCCCAGGACACTGAGAATTTCCCAGCATGAAAAATGTGAAGTAAATCCTTCACCATTTCAAGAGTGGTACCTAGTGATTGGTAAGTCATAAGGACTTTTTAATTTTTTTATTCAGTGGACGTCATGCTACCTATAATTCTCATCCCAATCAATGGATTCAGATGCCTAAAATTAACATGATTGAATTAGGGGAAGATGTATCATTATCCAGAGGTACACAAAAATAGAAATACGTTGACCTAGAACCTCACGATTAGAAACCAGTAAGTGCACATACAAACACACGTACATGAACACAAAGCCAGGAAGACCAAAGAAGCAGAAGCTTTCTGAAATTAACAAACACACAAACAAAAAGTGTCCTGTACTACAGGCCCTAGATTTTACCATCCCTAAGGTGGACACTTCACCCAAAGGTTAAAAGAGGACGAAGACCTGACCTGGCTAACACTTTCAAAGAAGGGCTAGCAAGATAAATGGAAATTCTGGTAAGAGTTACCTTGACTTCCTCAAGCTCCTCTAAGTATTTCCCACGAGAAGCTAATCCTACTTACTGGGGGGTGGGGTGGGGAGAATACAAAGAGGAGTGGGTTCCTGGATAAATAAGTATTGATGACTGTTAGATTAAATAAGATTCAAATAGTTTCTCTTTCCCTGGCTTGCCGGAAGCCTGGACGGTCTGAAGCTGTCCCCCACGTATTTGCATATGGGACGCATGTTATGGGGGTGGGGGGGTGGGGGATGGTCAAACCAGAGTTCCACATTGTGGGGAAATGTAAAACTGCTCTATGGATCATGTGTTATTTGTATAGTAAGGGCCATGAGAGAAAGGCCCCCAATATTATTTTTCATAAAAAAAATAATTTGCTGGCTTCATTTTTTCTGAAAATATCCACTCAGTCACCAGACAGTTGGCAACGTATCCCTCCTTCCTTGTCACTATTAAAAGCCAAACCAAAACATGACTGTCAAATGGAGCCTGACTGGAAGACACCCAGTCAGGTATCAGAGGGCTGTCGGCTGAGTGATCCCACAGCCGCCGCCAGTCTCCAAGCATGGCCTCCCTCTCAGCTCTTCTTGGGCTCCACCACTGACCTTCCCATTTGCATCCCAGCACGTCATCATTGTGTCCCCGCCATGATGACAGCATTAAACTGCGCATACTCTCCAGATGCCCCTCTTACCTTTCTATTTGTGTCCTCCTTTGCAGAAGCTTCATTTTGTACCAAGCCCTCTCTCGTTTCAGAGGGCATGTGAAACTGGTCTTGCAGTGCAGAGCAGACTCCGGGGAAGCTAGCATGCTTCAAGACCTGGCTCGCATGAGCATCTAATGTCTCTTCCCCCTGGGGCAATCTTTGTTTCTTTTTCAGAGCACTTAATTCTTTCATGGCCATCTCTAACTGGATTCTGAGCTGTCTCCCTTCCTCCCTGGCACTGTTCCTTTCAGCTCGAACTTTGCTCCATTTTTCTCTCCAATTGGCGGTGCAGTCTGACCACCACCGCATGGTCTTCTCCATCTGAGCGGCTCTGGCCTTGACTTCTTCGAGCTCCCTCAGCCGTAGCTCTTCACTAATGTCCCATTCATTGGTTCTGTGTGAGTGGACGCAGGCATTTCCGGTGGCAGGGGACTGTGGTCCACAGCATGGTGGATAGGAAGGGTGTGTCTCCCTCGGTGATGAAGCAGGCTCTGCTAGGTCACAAGGTGACCTTGGCGATGACCTCTGCATCTGGAAGGTTTCCGCTTCTGCTATCAACCGCTGAATGGAATCTAAATTCATGTCTATTCCGGCCTAAGGAAGACAAGGAACATAGTGCCACATGTGAATTTCCCAAGAGCAAGACCGAGTTGCTGTTGTTGTTTAACTTGATGAAAACAGTACGTCTTTTTTCGTACTGCATACTTTCTTTTCTAGTGTAAACCACAAGACAGAGAGATGAGACAGAGGCAGAGAAGATTTTATCAATTCCTAATTATCCTCAAAGAAACAGAAATTTCTCAAATTAAATCTTGCCGGAAAGATATGTATAAAGATGGAATTGGGAATTATGTATGAATAAGGACATCAACAATTTCTTTCAATAACCGTGTTTGTATTTAGAGAATAGTTGTTGTGTTGCATATTATCCGTTAGCTACACAAGAGTCCCCTTCTTCTCTGCTAACTAAATCTGCATTTGTTTGAGTACAAAGAAGAATCCATTGTTCTCGAGGAAAATGCATTTGCCTTCCAATTCCCAAAGCTAGATTCTAATTGCTCTAAATCTGCTACCTCACGACTGATTCCCTGAGCTCCAGGTACAAATGAGATCTGGCTATGTCTGATATTATACTAGGCAACTTCCCCTGAGAACGTTTTCTCTTCTTCAGAATGAGGTGCCCCTTTCCTGTCTTCTCCCTGCCTGGAGGAGGGCCTGATGATGGAAGAAGACAATGGACCAGCCAGCCAACAACTTTCAGGTTGGTAGAGTGGAGCTGAGAAAAGAGCCTGATCCGAAGATGGAGCTGCTGCATCTGCCAAGAGTGCCCACTTCCGTTCCCCTTGCTAGGTGTAATGGATTGCCTAGGCTTATTTAAGGTACTACAGTCCTGGGGGGTACAGTAGTAGAGCACTGGACAGCTAATGAAAATGTCTGGTTTCCAACAGCCATAGTGGCTCCTGGGGGATGTGGGGGGAAGGACCTGTTGGTCTACTTCATGTAAAGACAGCAGCCTAGGAACTGCTACGGGGGAAGTTCTAACCCCTCACACTGGGCTGCTAAGACCATCTAATCCTACTTAATGGCACGGAAAAGTCACAATAACAGCTGGATTTTCTGTAACTTGCCATCAAAAATATATCTGACACATCAATTAATTTAGAATTGTGCCTAATATTCTATTACACTTTGAAAGTTGATTAGTTTTAGATGTGGCCATTTTCCTCAAAGATTTTATAATCTAGTGATGTGACAAACAAGTGTAAATAAAAATACATATTACTTTTTATTAAACAAAGTTATTTTTTCCTTTTTGTTTTATTTTTAGTGTTCTGTGCCAATGTGGAATTATGTTTCTCAGCTCTAAGGAGCATCTCTCACTGAGTGATGCATTTGGTTGCCTAGGAATGAGTGTGTTTAAGTAGTAGATGATGGCGGAACAGGATCACAGCAATTTCAAAGCTTTTAAGACAGGTTTTCCTACATACAGCAAAAATGCAGACTGATTTGTAAATGCGAACGAAGCCTTCTTAGTAATTTGTAAACCCCTATATTATTCAGTCTACCAACCCAGCTAAATTTCCTATTCAAGATAATTGAGTTAAAATATGCAGTGCATCACCCCTCCACCACCGACCCACACTGCCTCATTCCCTCTGCACTTGGCTCAACACTCAGACAAACAACAGGTCTAAAGATGAGCAGTAACACAAGGAGATATGTACACCTTCGAGCCTTCACCCACTGGAGATAAAACGGGCAGTGTTCATCCAAGGAGAGCCCTCTGAAGGCTGGAAGGGTGAGGGGAAAGGCCAAATGGAAACACCAAGCACAGGGAGGAAATGGGAAGAGCCGCTTTCCTTGTGGGGATTGCAATCAATGTCACTAAATGAAACGTGAAGGAGTTGTTGAATGGAAACCAATTTTCTCTGTAAACCTTCACCTCAGTCACAGTGGAAAACTTTTTAAATATTCCCTTTCATTTACAAATTAACCCTGTTCTCAGACACCCTGTACAGGGTGGCTAGGGGTTAGAACTGGCTCAATGGGGTTGGGAGTGAGTGGTTCTATCAGATTATTCATTATTATTGCCAGGTACATTTTGCTGGTGTAAATAACCATTAGGTGACATTTTGTTGTTGTTTAGTATTTCTTTATTATTATTAATCATCTTGTTGGGGAGTTCTTACAAATCTTATGACAATCCATCATTCAGCTGTATAAAGCACACTTGAACATATGTTGCCATAAACATTTCCAAATAGGTGACATTTTATGTGCGTGACCTTAACTTCTTTCATTTTTTTCACTTATAGTTCATAAAATTTATCCTTATAACCATCCATTTTATCAACCAAATGACTTTCATTATACCAACAAACTTTCAAAATAACCTTTTATTTATTAAAAAAGAGAGACTGCATACTACTAAATTTATATCACTTTCATTTATAGAAAAAAACACATTTTAACAAATGTCCTATGTAAAGGTCAAAGAAACACTTGTTACAATACTTATTATAACAATATAAAAGCATGGTTGCAATTACTTTTGTTAGCATTGGTTTGTGGCCAATCACATTGATTTAGTGCTGATTTGGAGTAAATGGTCCCTCATTTTGTATAATTCAGAGGGCAATAATAAAAACTGGCCCAAAATTTTTGGACCATTACTAAATCAAGAAATTTTAGAGAAGGAAAGGAACAAAATAAAATCTTAATTAGAAGTACATGAAACATTATATATATATGAGGGTACTTCAAAACTGTTCTAGAAAATACACAATTAATTCGTAATAGGATTTTCCCACTAACCATCTGAAGAATATATGTGTGTATATACGTGCATGTATATATACACACATATTTTGCATTGGAATTCCAAAATCAAGACTGACCTTTTTAAATATATTAAACTTATTCCTTCCATTTGCAAAATAAATCAGTATCATGAAATTTCAATGAGTTACAGAATGTCTCATTAACTTTTATTTCACCAGTGTTGTAAAGACTCCATAATAGGATTTCAGTACATTGAGAACTTGCCTACCAATTAACTATGCATTTTTTTCTCCTTCTGATTAAACAAAATGAGTTGAGTCTAATCATTTGGTCCTTGAGCTTGAATAGAAGTATTTCCTATTCTGAGAAGGTTTCCCAATCAAAGACCAACGGGAATATTTAATACATATGTATATTCGTTGAAGCAATCCTTCACACAAATGTACATTCTATGTTTTATTTCATATAATTATGAAAATATTTGGCAATGGGTGCAGTACAATGCCTTTGTTGTATGTACAAAATGTTTAAATGCCATTGACTCTTAGGCTTCTTATACTGAGCTTTTGCCTTTTGGAAAATGCTAAAAGAAATCAGCTACTATAATTATTGCAAATACTTTTGAATATTAGATCCAACCAAACAAACAATATATGATGGGTTCACAATGTACATATATAATAGCTAAGTACACTGTTTTTTGCCAAAGAACAGGTTAATGGATAAGACTGTGAACTCCAGAACTACACTCTCTATGGGCCTAATTCCTGAGTCCACCACTTTCTAGGAAGAAGATTTTTATTTATATTGAGCCCTGGTGGCATAATGGTTACATGCTGGGCTGCGATCTATAAGATCCACAGTTCAAAACCACCAGCCACTCTGCTCTGCAAGAGAAAGATGGGACTTCCTACTCCCATCAAGAAACCCACAGGGGCAATTCTACTCTGTCCTTGGGTTACTACGAGTTGGAATTGAATTAATGGTAGTGAGATTGAAGTGTATTTTTTAAATTGATGCCCTATGGCCTTGACCACACAGACCCATCTCATCTTATGATCTTGCCCTTCACTCCATTCTCCTGTTAGGCTCATGAGTGTCCCCACGGGGGCAGAGAGAGGGAACAGAGCACTCACAGACCCCTTCTCCTTGTTCTAATGCACTTTTATTTAAGCACCGTGGATATGAAAGCTCTAAGGGTGTGTGTGTGTGTGTGGTCTTTACCATTCATTATTTATGTAGTATTTTTATATTTTAGGTCATGTTTTGCCATGATCTTTTCGGTGAAAGCACTATCTAGTCCATCTAGTGTCAGGTAAAAAAATCTACGTTTCTCTTGGCTAGCCCTTCTTGAAGGAACCCTGGTGGTTTGGTGCTTTCTCGTTGGGCTGCTAATGGAAAGGTCAGCAGATCATCAAAAACACCAGGTGGGTGCTCCTTGGTAGAAAAATGAGTTTTTCTACTCCTATCAGGAGTTACAATCTACAAAACCCACCCTAATCTGTCAAGATCAACTCGATGGCAGTGAATTTGTTTAGTTTTAAAGTTATACACCACTATTCACCAATCTGTGAATGTAACCAACATAGATCAGACCCTGAGATGTGGCCAATCCACTTGTGGGATTAAGAAATTTGAATCAAAAGCCACTGCCACGCCCATCTAAAAATACACAGCTTTCCAACACCAGTGATGTCCATCTACAGTGAGATAAATCCTCAGAAGGGTATATCCACTGTGTGTTTCTCTTCTGTGCTCATGCGCAAAATAGACAATATCTGCCATCACAAAACCTTGCCAACCCCGGCAGCCAGTAATCAGATTAGACATCCCACATTTGAATTAATCCTTCCGAAGAAATACCAGTATATTGTGATCCAAGTCATATCTATTTACTTGAATTTTTCCCTCAATACTTTGTTTTATATATTATCTGCAGAATGAGGCGGAAAAAGAAGAAAGCCTTTCTCTCGCTCTCGCTCTCGCTCCTTCCCTCCCTCCTTCTCTCTCTCTATTTCTTTCTTTCTTTCTTTTTGTAAGAGGGACACTCTCCAGGAAGAGTAGCACTTCAGAGGGTGACAGGATTTGTGTTTTAGTGTTTCTACTTCTTCTCCATTTCCCTTGTCCTATGGGAAATGAAAGCACTCCTGGATTCATGGCCTAAGCAGATGCACGTACAAGGACATGGACAAAAGCTGGGAGAAAAGAGCAGCACGTGGATTTCCTTGCAC